GGCATTACAATCACTGAAAAGTGCTATCGATGGTTCTCTGGCAATGTGATATTGTAAAACAAACTGGAAGAGGAGAAAGGGTGTTATGTTTCATGCGCTAAAAACACTTGCCACCAACTTTTTCCGGTATATATATATAATATATATATATATATATATATATATATATATATATATATATATACTATATATATATATATATATATATATATATATATATATATATGTATATATATATGTTTAACACGGAAGTATTTTATGCCGGGATCGACCACTACTATACTGACGTATTTCCATCACGGATATGACGTTGGCAAAATGCACACTAACGTGTCACCAAGAACAGGTATAATTGGAAACTCCGTAGTTCGAAATCGAACCCACGACCTCTTGGTTCGCGCCGACACATGCGCGGCGTTACGACTGCGCTACCGACGCACATGCACGAATTTGCACAAGCGCGCCTTCTATATCTCACACATTATCTCTCGCACAAGGGTGACGACGCAATTAGGGCGAGGAACGCTGGCCACCCTGGCATCGAGGAGACGCCCTAAACGCAGTTACGTTCTTCACCTTTCGCGTCGCGTCGGCGTGTGAAGGCTTGTTGTCGGAGTTGTGCAGCTTCCACGTGCACCAACAGTGTTTATCCCCCGTCGACTGCATCGAGTGTGATAGCACGCAACGATGCTGACCGGTGAACGTCGTGCCTTGGTGGAGCGAGACGCACGCCAGCGGCTAAAGCTACAAACATCTGCCTCCTGTGTTGCTGAAGCGCAGTTTAGAAGCGTATATGCATGAGCACAAGCGGTTATTCTATTAGTCGAGAGCGCACACCTTGCGTGATCTATCCTCGACTGACGACGCTTTGAAGGAGGGCTAATCGAATGCCAATGTTTATTATGTGCTTGCTGGTGCCATCTTTGGCGGGATTCACGACATACTGGGTTTAGGTATATTACCAACTAGAGCCACCACCAGAAATAAATCATGATTATCAACGTTAGTTGTCGGGATGTAGCTGTCTCTAGGCGTTAACGTGGGCGCACTTATGAGCCAAACAGAGTTATAACTGTCGAACACCAATAGACATTGCACAAATTCCGATATATCAATGCACAATAAATAATCAGCTACATTTGTAAAGACACGTTTCACTTCCGGTTCTTACGACGGAGGGAGCATTTTTTCTTTTTTTTTCTTGATTCACGCTAGGCGCAAAGCCCGACATGCCCAGACACAGCAAAGGCCTCTGCAGAGGAACAGTGGATGCCATCTGCTCGTATATAGACGCGGTCCACACGTGCGTGCGCCACGCTACACGAAAATAAACACAGCATCCAGTACAACAACGAGGAAACATGACGCCTGTCGATGTAGTTTGGCTCACAGAGGCCACCAGCCTGTTTAGTTGCACCGAGGTGGTCGCGCGTAAGTGAATGGCAGCCAGTTGCCAGTCGCTGTCTGTGTGCTGACTTGGATCCATATATTGATTCTCTAACTACTCAGGAGCTGACCGATATACTTGTGTGCATTATCGAGCTTTTTTTTTTGATGTGCTGGATTACGCTCTTGCTCCTTAATGCGAAAGCACAGTCATGGACTGCTGATTAAACTGCGCGTGGAAAAAGTAGGTGTTATCTGCAAATAAATCGGACGCGCTGTCTTCGCTTCATTTTAATAATACTACTCCCTGTTTACATCATATATTTCTGAGTTCTTGCGATAACTCACGTCTTGAACAGCGCATAGACAAGTGTGAAATAATAGGACGGGACATACAAGCGCGGAGGCTATTTGCCGAACAGCGTTTTTTTTTTTTTTTTTTTTTTTAAGAAGAATGCACACATCAAACACAGGCCCTCTCTCGAATGATTCAGTAAGGCCGCGCAGTGGCCAAAACAGGGCTTCTGAACAGCCACTACAAATATGCGTTTTTATACCCTTCGCGTTGCTTCTACATTACTTGCAGTAGAAAATACTATATTTTACATGATATCTGGCACAGATGCCACACGAGGAGAGGAGCGAGATGCTACCGCAACAACTGTCTTTGCACATTCTATGTACTTCGTATCCTCCATCGCTGGGCTATAGTGCGGGATAAAAAGTCGTGCGCCGAATGTCGTTATGCCAAGCACTTTGTTTATTTGCCAGTCTTCGGCCTACCTGTATACAAATATTAGACGTGTTGTGATCAGGATAAAAACAGGACGCGTTGATAAAAATATCCATCTGTGCAAAGATGGATACACTATGTATTCATTTGTTGTTTTATTTTAACATGTTTAGATGCTGTCGTGAAACTGTACATACCCAGAAATAGAGGTGCACTCATCTGGGTTGTGTGACCTCGTTAGGTTTGTGCCTGAATAGTTGGTGTTTGTTGTGTAACGTTTATGAATTATCCTATAATTACACAAATGACTTTATAGTAGCTTCCCACAGTGATCCAATATACTACATTTACACCAACCTTGCGAGCCATCAGAATGATTATGTACATTATCAGCACCATTTCGCTTCACCGCAAAACATATTTCGAAGTGCAGTAATTTTTTTTTTTTCATTTTTCCTCACTTTGACGCACACCTTCCATTTGCACTCTGGTGGCTTTGAGAAATCGCCTTATTGCCACGAAAACTACCCATGACAGTTTGAATTACTCCACTGACCTTGTCACAAAGTCGCTGTGCACTAAATAGGGAAGCGACACCTAATGTACATAGCTTTCATTCTATTCTTTGTTTTGTCTACTCCCCAGCCAGGTGCTTCCTTCACGAAATACTCATGTTAGATTGAGATCATTTAATAAATACCCTGCAGTGTACTTGTGGCGAACGTAGTAACATTCAACATGTGTGGTCAGTGTCTAATTACCCAGTACCAAAAAAAAAAAAAAAGAATCTATGCATCGAGTGTATGGCGAGCGATGAAATCATGCGTTTCCTCTTAAAGAACACTTCGCGCTGCGTGCATGCGTAAAAACTGTTTTCTCGCTAAACCTAGCATCTGAGTTTATTAGCATGCACACCCCTATTTGTTCCTGTCTAGTTTTTGTTTTTGTTTGTTTGCCTTAAGTACGTACCTAACGATCTTTTTAAAACATGATACAGGAAAGGAAGGTGTTTCCGTCTCCTAATTTGACATATTTGGTATCAGTTTTTTGTTATTAATTTATTCATCGCCAGTCCTAAACACCCTAGTTCTCCTATAGAAACGAATTAGAGTAGCAGCAAGACAATTCTTACAACTCTTCGATGTCTTGCCATGCTAAACTTACCTTGCAGGCTACATTCATTGCTTTAGGACATGCCTGTACCAGAAGGAAATCAAAGAATTTGCTTTTACTACTTTCTGACCAAGCCTTACAACAGTGCCACAGCAGAAGTTCCCCCCCCCCCCCCCCCTTTTCACTAAGATTGAGAGGAGGTGGTCGTAAGAGGCTTTCGGAATTGGAAACTCTGGGTCAAACTATTCCTCTCGAAATGGTTAGAGTTGTCGCTACATAATCGAGACAAAAAATAAGAGCATTTCTGAATAGTTGCCTTTATTGTCATTGGCTATTATTATTATTATTATTATTATTATTATTATTATTATTATTATTATTATTATTATTATTATTATTATTATTATATTATTATTATTATTGTTGTTGTTGTTGTTGTTGTTGTTGTTGTTGTTGTTGTTAATCTGTCCACTTTTACAGACAACTTTAATACATTAAAGTTACCGTTAAGTGCGCTCAGCAAGCACCCTAGCACATCAGGTTTAACCAGAAGTGACAAATGGTACGGCAACAGAGTGTTTTAGAATCAATCCCACGAAATAGAGTGCTTCAACCGAGCGCAGTGCGAAGCGTACATGAGATTGTGCAATAAATCAGCCTTCAGAACGACATAACAAGGTCCTCATGATAGAAAAAAACAATCACGAAACAAATCGCCCGTAATCATTCATCGATGCGCATAGCCACAAAAACGGACCTTTTAACAAGAAGCGAACTGCCTCGGCCGGTCGCGCGATGCCGAACGGTCCGGTGGCCATCCGCTCCCCACTGACTCACCTGTCAGGTAGTGCATGAGTGTTATGCGGTAAAGTGCCATTGCCGTCGATGGCAAAGCAGTGCGTATCGCGCAACGGATAGCGGTACGAGCGATACCACGATGCCGCGGGTACCGTCGCTATATGACGACCGCTGCATATGCTCGTCCGAGTTGCAGTTGTCGAGGAGCGTTGGTTAGGCTAGCGCACCTCGGTACTGCGACTCATTTCTCACTGCGAGAGACAGTGTTTCCCCAGCTGACTGACGAAAAGAGGCAGAAAGCAACGAAAAAAAAAAAAAAGACCGAAAGCGGTACGTACTGAAAATTTATGTCATCAATGTACATCAAACATAATCCTAACAGAGAAGCAAGCGCTTCTGTGTCGCGCACTGAAAAGCTTTATTCTATTGCATATGAAATTGGTGCTAGGAAACTGATGATGAATGTGTCGTGGTAGCGAAGAGTTGCAATGAAACGGATGTGGAATCTCGTGCACGTGAAAGCGTGCAGGCTCTGTTAGGACCGTAATATCAAATTGGCATTACAAGGTAAGCCGCTCGCTGTGGCATGGGTAAAAGCAGCAGGAAAGGGTGCAGCTTTTTGCATGACAATGAAAACTTTCTCCAGTAAGATGAAGACAAGAAAACATGAGTGCAGTGTATTCTCCTAATAAATGAGCAGTCTCAACAATTTTACCCCTTGGCGTCGACGGACAGTTTAAAGTTTATTCTAGGGTGGAACTTCGACCAGAAGAAAGTTTTCAAAGGAGCATGTTCTCCGGTCAAAAAGCTTTAGTTCTGCATCCGACAGGAGAACATTTTCCAAAGCACGAATGCAGCCTTTGGACGAACTACCCTTCTCCTTCGACAAACATATGTGCACACGAGAGCTTAGCATTTGTAGCTGCGAGGAAAAAAAAGAGACAAAGAAAACACAGAAGTTCAGTCTCACCTCTGGCACCTCCGGCAGGCCGGTGTTGGTGGTCGTCGTCGTGGTCGACAGTCGAATTGTAGCGCTTGTTGGTGATAAGGAATGCCCGAGGCATAGTGGCCGGTGAGCGTCAGGCGCCGGGCCTCCCCCTTTTCGGAGATCACGGTCTTGGAAACACGACGTAGTCTTGAGCTGCTTCGCTCACACACCGTGGTGCTTCGTCTGGCCAGCGGCGTTGCCTGCAACGGAATGACGTTTCGGGATGCCCGAGAGCTCCTCCGGGAGGAGGCTCCTCCTACACCTCCTTTTCCGCGGGTTCGGAGGTTGGAGGGGGGGGGAGACAGGGGGGGGGGCTCCGAAGGAAATCACGTAGCGAAAACAAGAGCAGTGCGCGCGTAACACACTGATCTCTTCGAAAGAAAATAAGAGAGACACGTCGGGAGGGGAAAGAGAAAGTCGCGGTAGTGAAGGGAGGATCGTGTGACGTATCCGCCGGTTCGCCACCCCCCTGGCTGCTGCAACCTCCCGACCTCCGTACGCTACCACCACCGCCACCACTCCCACCACCCCCTCGCGTGCCCCGCGCCCGTGTTTCTTTCTCTCCCCTTCTCAAACGGGGCTAGGTTGTGGTTTTTAGGCGATTGCGCTTACACCGGTAGCTGCACGACGCAGAGAGGGACGATGGTGTGCCCGCACCGTAGTTTTTTTTGTTTATTCAGTACTTTAGTCATTCAGTCGGTCTGTCTTTCTCTCTCCCAGCGGGAGCCGTTGTCACCTTAAGTTTACCTAGCACATAGACACTCTTGCATGCTTATTCTTTCTTTTTTTTTTTTCTCTCTCTCTTTGCATCCCATATCAGAGCCAGGAGCTTTTCAGTTACGCGTCTTTGTTTTGTAGTCCCCCGCCTTCAAAAAAGTGTGCTATAGAAAAGAAGTACTGCTTTCAAATAGTCGTAACGGGACATCAGCTGCCCGTACTGGGATTTGTTCTTTTGCGATTTTGGTTTAGCCTGTTCCAGCTAACGCTTCTTTTTGCATGGCATTTTTTTTTGTCACTGCTCAGCTGGATCAGTTGCAGTGTTGACCAAGCCACTGATAACTAGTGCTTTTTAGTACAATATTGTGCACTATTTCTGGTTTCACGCAATTATTGGTGCATATGAATCTTCCCACAAAGGCAATTGCGAAACCACCAAATATTTAAAGAAGCATGAGGGGAAGTCTGTGTGGTATAATAATTAGTCATCTAGCCGCCGCGGTGGTACAGGGGTGATGGTGCTCGGCAGCTGACTCAGAAAGTAGCGGGTTCGGTCCCAACAGCAGTGGTCGAATTTTGATGGAGCCGAAATGCTACAGACCCTTGTAGGTACTTAGGTATAGGTGCACGTTAAAATAACCCCAGGTAATGAAAATTTCCGATGTCCACAACAATGGCATTACTCAGAATGATATCGTGGTTTTGGCAGGCAATTTTATCATTTATTATCTACACCCACTATCTACACCCTGCACAATGTTCATTGACAGAACCCCCCCCCCCCACCAAAAAAAAAAATGAGGACGCATTACCTCACTCATCAAATTTGCTTTGTACCGAAAGAAATAGAACGTAGGCTTTCCGTTTTCTTTTTGTTTTTGTTTTGTCAACTCACCAGTTATTCATTTTTGTTTTTACTTCGCCAGTTGTCTTCAAAACGGCGCATAAACGAAGTCTAATAGCACAAAAAAAATTAACAAAGCTCCGCCGCCATTTTTTTCTCCTACTTTTACCAGATTCTTTCATCCGGTCCCTTTATTCAAATAGCTCCTGCTTTAGTGCATCCATACTGATATAGCGTACCACTTCGAAGTATTTACCAGCAGCTGCAGCAGCAGTCTAGTAGAACCACAACAATGTGCTGCACGTAGATAGATAGATAGATAGATAGATAGATAGATAGATAGATAGATAGATAGATAGATAGATAATAGATGAGTTAGGGAAGATGCCGCTGTTGTAAAGAGAGAGAAGACTTTTATTATCCGGCGGACGACTATCCTATCCCGGGTGCTCCAGCTTAATTTTAAACCATGGAGATTTTTTACCACTTAAGACCATTGCTACACGCGAAGCCAACTTAATTGCATGCCCAGCGGTAGACTACCATATAACTTCCGAAAGCTCGAAGCAGCGAGGAATAGATGAAGCACTGCTTTATGTAGTAATTTTATTGACTTCCATCGTGATTTATTGTCGGTTAACCTGCGCAGCTGCTTTGAAGAAATTTTCCCAATCAAAAGCAGGCATGCTAATTCCGTTGCGCAACATCACTCTCTTCCACAAATGTCCAATTAAAATTTTTTTTTGTTCCACCTGAACCCTACCGTGTAATATTCACGCGCTAATTGTTGTTTTGTCAAGTTCGACAGCATTTCCCTTCATACGGCATCTTGTTTGTTGCTCTGACAACGTGCTGCTTTGCGCACTGTACAACTCTGCACTAGAAAAGTTTAATGCCAACTGTATCATCCACTCGTGTTTTACCCCAAATCCATTTTACTGTTTTTCTTTCTATTCGCGACACACCTGTATTTATTTCATATCTCGTCCCCCAGCTCCCTTTCGAGTCTCTTTGCTACCCTCCTTGCTTTGGCCCCAGAAGTTAGTACTAGGCAGTACTATCCAGATGGTGGGGAGCTTCTTACGCATGCTCTTACTACTTCCAGAGACACTTAACGGTCTGGCAGCACCAGATGTTTCGTAAGACACGTACACTCATGAAAAGAAAAGAAAGCGAGATCCAGTTCGTGCATGTGGGGACGCAACAAGTGTCTCAGCAGTGCGCTTTGCGTGGGGCCGGAAGCCACATGCGCGGTATCATACGCGGACGCCCGCCGCCACTCACGTCTCACTGCTTGCCTTCCCACGTGCGTCTATGAACGCACGCAGAGAATGAAGAAGACATTCTTGCCAACCGTCATTTTCTCGTAGCAAGTGTGGACTAGTTTAGAATACCACTGAGGCGCTTCCATTGCGTAAATAAAAAAAAGAAACATAAATGACATCCTTAAAGGGCAGCAACTACAATAAGAAAAAAAAAAACGAATATTGGGAGCAAAAGGCGAACCGCGGTGCTCAGGTCTGCTGCTTTTGCATCCCGCATTTGTAGCAGGGTCTCCGCTTTTTCCGCCCCCTACCTCGCGTTGCACTCATCTTGGTTCGGCCCACTCGCTGCTTTGCTTTCTTTCTCTTCTCGGACGGGAGTGCCGGCACCATGTGTGCGTGCTAATGTTCGCTTCACACGCGCGCCTTGGCTACCGAATCGGCTGCGCGGTTGTTATTTCACTGTTTGCGTCAGTTTTCGCTCTGCCGCCCCGCACTGCAGCCACGTGTGCGAGATAACTGCTCGCTCGAATGAGCAAGCCGTTCCAGACCATCGGCCACTGACGAGGGTTGCCTCGATTCATGGTATAGAATTCTCAGATTCAAGGCCTAAATGTCCCTTTATAGTCAGCTGTCCTTCAAGCTTTATCTGCCTTCTACGTCTTGATATAACGCTGCTGATCAATCAGTCGATAGTGTATCTCATGTAGTAGTGATAGAGTAAACAGTCGTGTGAGATTAGTGGTGTGAGATTGAAAACCTTAAACCTAGACGTTAGCATGCGCTATGTAACTGTTTGCAGGGGAGCAAGAAACATGGTGTTTCTGTTGCAGCTAAGTAACTGCAGGCAAACGAAGAGACAAGCATAGCACAGGCAGTTTTTTTTTCTCACTATCTTCATGTGTTTTATCTGTCTCCTCCTCCCGAAAGTGTAGGCTGCCGCTGTGCCAGGTGGCAGGTGTAAACCTGTTCCTTCCTTATTTCCTTTGTGTCAGTGGTGTGTGTTCACATAATAATAATAATAATAATAATAATAATAATAATAATAATAATAATAATAATAATAATAATAATAATAATAATAATAATAATAATAATAATAATAATAATAATAATAATAATAATAATAATAACCTGTTGTCACTACACTTTCAGCGAACTCGCAGTGTATTGGCTGCTAAAACTGCATAGAGTTTGGTGAAATCACAACATGCCATATATATTTCTGGACATAAGTAGCCCGATCGTCCGGCTCGACTCCGTGATGTTGAGAACAGTGACACGCACTACCAATCATAGTATTTTAAATTTTGGGATCCACATGATGAGGAAAGCGGTGGGTGGGCGAGCAGTGGCATTAATCGCTACTTGTTAATACTTGGTTTGTTTGTTCATCGACACAATAAGAATAAATAAACGTATGAAAATTTTACCTCTAGCTCATGCGATAATATCTCTAAAAGTACAGAGAAAGGCAGAAAATGAGACCACACGTTCAACACAGATATAACAGATACATAGCAACACGCATATGCAGCTGACAAACATGTAATCCAACGGATTAAGTAAAGTCAGAGCGGTCTGTCACTCAGAGAGAGATAAAAGCAAATCCAGTGTTTTGAAACCTCACTCGGAAAGGGGCACTCGTAGGCCGATCAATAGTATGTTGATTTTACTACCACCTGCAGTTCAATTTTGTTACAGTTATGCGTCGTGGTATTTAACGAATGATGACCGAATGACAGCCAGGACACTGGCAAATCTCATACTACCAAACTTACTTGACAACATTGAGAAAGAAAAAAGGCATGACCATAACTTTCCTCTTTGGATGGCAACTAACCTCACACTTGCAAGATCAAAATTGTATGTTATGAAAGACTTATTGATAGCATGCTGCTATAGAGGGATGAGCCTTTGATACAAAAAAAATCATACGGCATCTTCAGTAACTATACATGTCACAGCTTTACCAGGGCTACGACGTCCACGAAGACAGGCAATAGGCATATGAATAGTATTGAGTCCACACGTAAGACAGCGCAGCGTGACCTAACTAACCGTTTCGCTCAGTCAGAGCCCATCACGCCGATAGGAAATACTCCAAGTTCAGTGCGCACACACGCTTCACACGCGGACGAGAAACTTTCCAGTTGCCTCACAAGCGACACTTTATCGCCAAGGTCTGCAAAGTTGCCCGTCACACCGCGATCCCGGAGGCGTACGCACCTTTGCTTAAAACAAACACTGAACAGGTGAATGGCGGACACGCAGAGGCCACCCTTACTTGAAAAGGT